AATGTAACTCACTCGGGCGAAAGGAACATCAAAAGAACATCATTATATAACCGAGATAATTATAGGCCCGATTTACACGTGCGTCGTTTTACGCCCAACACATATAAACGACGCACGTGTAAATCGGGCCTTAATAACAAATTAGAACGTTATTTGCATAATTGATGAATGACCACTACAACACGTCAGTTATCATTTGGCAAAGGTTTGAGAGCTCTAGTTAAGGCCATGTTGATTTGATTAGGCCACACTGACTTAATTTTATGGATGACATCCTCTGAAGACCCCCAAACTAGTGCGCGCGGACGAATAAAAAAAATATGCTAGCCAAAAATAAAAATGCTACTAAACCATAGGAATACAAAGCTGGTATTGTGAATTTGCAGCAGTACTTAACGCGTATACGACAAGCCAGGATATACTGGCTTTTTGTGGAATTTATGAATCGGCACTGTACGTATGTACTGAGTTCTAGAGTCTAAAGCTTCGGTAGCCTGGGTGCCCGGCTCCGTATTGTTGCTAACTACCATGGACTACCCAGGCCTAGAGCCAGGCCAGAGCCTCGGTGGATGTGATCTTTTTCTTTTTTTTGAGAACAGACGAAAATCAATGCGCGCGCAGATGTCATCCATAAAATTAAGGCGGTGTGGCCTTATATGGATGACATCCGCGCGCGCATTAATTTTCGTCCATTTCCAAAAGAAGTTTTCGACCATACTGTAAATAGTACAAAATGAGCGAATATATGTCGTATGTTGCAAAAAAGTATTGGAAAACGATACTAATACCATAATATGTCAAAATCAATTCAGAAAAAGAAGAAAATGTGATGAATTTAAAATAGGCGGAGCCTATTATTATTCGCCATACCATACTCTCCATGACCACGTAGATTTCATAATGAAGGAATTTTGTTGGCCAAACTTTTTTGTTCGCGCGCTCGCAACAGTTTTGGGGTTCCCAGAGGATGTCATCGATATAGTCAAATCAACATGGCCTAACGTATCTTTTAGAAATGTCGGAATCCGAAAACATGGCCGAAGACCTCGCCTCCGAAGGCTTACCGATGGGAACTACAAGCGACTTTTCGGCCCTCGTCGAGTGTTCTTCCGGACATCGCCCGAATGCCAATCATACGAAAGCATCGAGTGTACCAAAAACCC